CCAGTACAGCCAGTACAGCACCGCATCCAGGCCGCCGGCCGCCACCAGCCGCTGGCACGTCTCCTCCGAGTGCTTGAACATGTGCTCCAAGATGCCGGCCACACTCCGAGCCAGCTCCACCGGCTCGCGTTCCTTTGCCAGGTTCAGGATGACGCCCAGCCCGATGCGCGCCACGCGGTCCCTGCCGGAAGAAAGTGGAGGGGACGGTGGAGTTGCCGTGTCTGGCTTGCCCCCTGGTCACTAGTATATTCTGTGGGCCTCATATAAGACATGAGAGAGAGCATTATTCTCCCTGCCTCCCCCCCCTCCACCACCACCTCTTGCCTGGGAGGACCAGACTTCTCTGATTATAAGGGTGCTTTCTCCTGGCCTCACCCATTCCCTTTCCTATACCCTCCCTTGGAGAAGCTATATGGGTCCTGGTTAAGAAACCTGGCTCTGGAGCAGATCCCCTGGGTCCTGCTTTCAAATTCTTTGCCATTTTCTAGTTGCGAGACCCTGGGTACCTCCCTTTACCTTTCTACCTTAGTGTCCTCATCTCATAAATAGGATTATAAACACCTACTCTATAGGTTTATGGTGAGAATGAATGTGATAATCCGTGTAAAGTGCTTGCCACAGTGGCTGGCACATAGGAAAGACTCAATGTTAACTTCTTATCATCATTTGAAGTGTCACTTGAAGCACACCCCTCTGGCCTTGCCTTCAAACTTCTCTTCACTCCATGCTGCACGACTGAGTGTATTTACTCATTCATTCAAAAGACATGTACTGAGAAGCTACTGCGTGCCAAGCACTGAGCTAGTGGCTGAAGTTAAACAGTGACTAAGAGTGACTCAGCTAATATGGAGACAAACAATAAGCAAGTAACCAGGGAATGAACAGGATAACAGTGATATGGCCAGAATGCTAGCAAAACCAGGTGACACAAGGGAGAGTGCTTGGGTGCAGGGATATGTCTGAGGAGATGCCATCTGAGGGTTAAATGTCCAGAAAGCCCTGCCTGCAAGTATCTGGGAGATCATAATAGGCAGAGAGGACAGCCAGGACAAAAGCCCTGAGGGCTGATGGGCCTGACGTATTTGAAGAAGAGAAAGCCAGAGATATTTGCAGTGTCTAAAACCAACAAGGAAAAATATAAAACCAACAAGGGATTCATATATAATCTATATAAGTAAATATTCGAATCCACAAGAAAAAGGCGATAAACCCAATAGAAAACGGGCAAACGACACAAATGAGCAACTTACAAAAGAGGAAATCCAAAATGCTAACAAAGAGATGCTCTAACTCATTATTAATCAGAGAAGTGAAAATGAAAACAGCAATGACTTGACACCTATTAGCCAGGCAAAAAGCAGAAGCTGGGCAACACGAAGGATTAGTGAAGTGTGGGGCCATGAACACCCTGAAGCCCTGTGGGTGGAGATACAGGCTGGGACAGTCCATTTGGGGAGCAGGCTGGGATGAGTGGGTGAAATTAAGATGAGACACACCAAATGGACCAGAAATTGGGGCTCTTAGATTTCTATTTCAAAGAGATCCTAACACAGATCCACAAAAGGACATAGCCAGGTTCATGCTCTGCCGTGTTATCTGTGGTGGGGGGAACTGGGGACAGTCCAGTATCAAGCCTGGGACAGTGGAGAGATAATATGGGCAGGTACCCAGTCTGGAGGACCGTGGAGCAGTTACAAGTAACTGAGCGGATGATAACATAGCAACATGAAGGATTTTAACATAACACTGAGTGGGGGAAAGTAAGAAATGGAATATAATTCAGCACAATTTGTGAAAATTAAAAATGTATGCACAAAACAAGAACAAAGATTTTACCAGAATACAGATAGGAAGATATGTATTATATGTTGAATGGTTGCCTATGGGATTAAGTCAGAAAGATGGTGGGGACATTAGTCAAGACAAGGGGAACTTCTGGTCAAGATGGCAGCATAGGATCAACCAAAGGACTTATGTGCATGCATATGAGCAAAACAAATGGACACAGACTGTAGGGGGTGAGGGTTTGTGCCTGGGGGAGAGGGTGGCAGGGGAGAGGTCCATGGGGGGGGGGAAAAGGAGACTCATGTAATACTTTAAACAATAAAGAATTTTTTAAAAACTAACATAATAGACTGAAGGAAAATAAAAGATGGCAGCATAGGAAAACATGGTGGTACTCCCCTCATCTCAAAACCACATAAAAATTATGTACAACTAAACTACAGAACAATCATCATTCAGAACCATGTGAAAGCAAGCTGAATTAAAGTCCTACAGCTAGGGAATTAAAGAAGGTGACACATCAAGACTGGTAGGTGAGGTGGAGACAAGTATGAGCTGGTCCCATACCCATGTGTATCAGGAGTGAGGTGTCCCAGCTCCACACTAGACTCCCCAGCTCAGGGCTCCAGTGCTGGGAAGAGAAGACCTTATAATTTCTGGCTGTAAAAACCAGTGTACATTGAGGTTGAGGGAGACAGAGGCTGTTGGAGTCCCAAGCAGTTCCTCTTTAAGTGCACAGACTAACTTGAACTCACTTCTTGTGAGCTCTGACATGGGGGTTGGGGGGCAGCAGCTTGAAAGGCACCAGAGACAAATGGAGCTGAATTGACCAGCATCAGGGCTGGGGGTGCAGCTTTCTCCCAGGCAGACGTCATTGTTCCTTTGATGAGCCCTCCCTCCACAGAGCCATATCTGAGACCCCATTAACCTGATTCCCTGAGGCTCTGTGCCACCCAATTTTCAGGCCCACCTAAGTTGTTTCTGGTGGCTTTTCCATATGATTGGCCTGACCTGGTTCATGCTTCAGACTTTGCTAAAATCTTTGAAACAAGCAGCATCTGACCTCAGCGAGCCCCATACCTCTCACTAAGTGGCCCTAGGCCCAGCACTAGCAGCAGCCAACCTTGGTTCAGAGCTTGACCTCGCTGGGGCACCTCCAAGCCCATCATAAGGAGAAGCCATTTGCAGATTGCTTTGTAGCTCATGCCAGGTGGTCCGGGGCAAAATACAGGTGGCAGCTGACTTTGGCCTGTACTCCCCAGGAGGCCCTAGAGCCATCACACCCAGTGGACAGCTTCATACCATGTTGAAGCACCATCCCCCAACCACCTTCACAAGCAACACACTCACGGGGTAGACTCAGAGGGCACCAGAGCCCTGCTTAAGTAAGTCCTGCTCTATAGGGTGGGCCCTGTACAGCTGATCCTCCATGGTGGTTGAAGGTTACAGCCAGTCCTTGCAGCTGATCATCCTGGGGGTAAATCCCTCCCATTGACATGCCAACAGCAATCAAGGCTCAACCACAAGAGGAAGCTGTATGCAGCCCACAAAGAGGGCGCACCTTGAGTGTCCAGCTTGGGTGATTGGGGAGGCTATGCCACTGGACCCTACAGGGCACTGCTACATTAGGCTACTCGATCTAGCCTGGGAGACGTAGCAGCTCTACCTAACACATAGAAACAAACATAGAGAGGCTGCCAAAATGAGGAGACAAAGAAACATGTCCCAAATGAAAGAACAGACCAACACTCCAGAAAAAGAACTAAACAAAATGGAGACAGTCAATCTTATCTACTAGACGAAGAGTTCAAAGCACTTGTTGTAAGGATGCTCAATGAACTTAGTGAGCACCTCAACAACATAAATAAAAGACCAATAAGAAATTAAGAGAGGAAGCTGTATGCAGCCCACAAAGAGGGCGCACCTTGAGTGTCCAGCTTGGGTGATTGGGGAGGCTATGCCACTGGACCCTACAGGGCACTGCTACATTAGGCTACTCAGTCTAGACTGGGAGACGTAGCAGCTCTATCTAACACATAGAAACAAACACAGAGAGGCTGCCAAAATGAGGAGACAAAGAAACATGTCCCAAATGAAAGAACAGACCAACACTCCAGAAAAAGAACTAAACAAAATGGAGACAAGCAATCTACTAGACACAGAGTTCAAAGCACTTGTTGTAAGGATGCTCAATGAACTTAGTGAGCACCTCAACAGCATAAATAAAAGACCAATAAGAAATTAAGAGCATACTAATTGAAATGAAGAATAATTTATAGGGAATCAACAGTAGGGTAGAAGGCTGTAGAGTATTCTAAGCTTATTTTGCACAAAATTTGTAAACCACGCAAAGAAATAATAATAATAATAATAATAATAATAAACAAGGATAGTGTAAGGAGCCTGTGGGACAACTTCAAGAACACCAACATCTGCATCGTGGGGGTGCCAGAAGGAGAACAGAGAGAACAAGAAATGGAAAACCTATTTGAAAAACTAATGACAGAAAACATCTCTAACTTGAAGGAAATAGACATTACAAGTCCAAGATGAATCCAAAGAGGCCCAAACCAGGACACATCATAATTTATTTTTTTATTTTTAAATATATTTTATTGATTTTTTACAGAGAGGAAGGGAGAGAGATAGAGTTAGAAACATCGATGAGAGAGAAACATCGACCAGCTGCCTCCTGCACATCTCCCACTGGGGATGTGCCCGCAACCCAGGTACATGCCCTTAACCGGAATCGAACCTGGGACCTTTCAGTCCGCAGGCCGACGCTCTATCCACTGAGCCCAACCAGTTTCGGCAGGACATATCATAATTTAAATGCAAAAGGTTGATTTAAATTTTTTTAAAAAATTAAATAGAAAAAATTCAAAAGGTTAAAGACACCAAGAAGCCCTGGTCCTGGTCGGGTAGTTCGGTAAGTTACAGCGTAGTCCCAAAACATCAAGCATCAATAAAATATATTTTAAAAAAAGAAAAGAAGAAGTTGGTTGGCAGAGGAAGAACAATATTTCGTAAACACACATCATCTGTGTGTCACTCCGTTCTTTCCCTTCCAGCCTCCTCCAGGCACAGTCCAGAGGAGTAAGGAGATTCTACCTTTCTTTGGAAGGACTCTGATCCCCAACAGGCGCGCTGGGATCTGTCCTTGGTCCTGAAGTGATACCTGAACCAATGCCAAGTGATACAAG